AGCCCCAAATAAAATGATTTTTTTAAAAGAAAAAAAAATAAAATAAAATAAAAAATAAAAAAGTATCCTCAAAAATATGTTATAGGATAAATCTCTACAGTAAAAATTGCTACATCAAAGGATATCTACATAAAGGAGGTTAAAATGTATAGGGTTATAAGTAGCAAAGAAACAAACATAAGCAAAAGAATTGCCAAGTGGTAATTAGGAGTCAATTATAATAAACTACACATTTTTTGGGGAAAGACAATAAAGACAGATACTTCATTTATTGATTAGTTAGTTTTCCTTAGTAACCTGGGATAGAGAAAAATAATCAGGCTCTCTGAATTAGTTTAATGAATAGTCTAGCAAGATGTTAAGCAGGCACAGAAAAGAGTAGATCAGAGAGAACAATAATAATTGATGCATTGGGTAAAATTGGGCCCGAAGGTTTGATTAACAGTGAGAATTCCGAGGTTAGAGAGTACGATGGAGTAGATGAGCAGGCTTGGAAGGAAAAACTAGGGAGTGGGGTGGGGGTTATAGTTGGAGAGAAAGGAATTTTCCATTTCTGAGTAATTGCATAGCTAAGGGAATGAACAGTCTGGGAGGCTGTTCAAGTCCTCCAGGGCTAGAGTTGTAGGAGGGTCAGCTTTGAGCCAAGTGCCTCTCCTGCCATGGGAGACAGCAGCGCCCCTGGCTTGGCATAAAGTCTTTAAAAGACAGAAACCCATTCTATTGACAGCAGATAGAAAAATGACTGATTTAGAGGATTTCATATAAAGGGCTCATGAGAAATTTTGCAAAATGGGTTTATTACTAGCAGAGATAATTAAACAAATGTTCATGTTTTGACCTAATAAAACTCAAATGTTCAAATAAAACTTTCTTTTAAAAGGCAGACCAGCAAATCTTGTCCCCGCCATATACTATCTATTTGCCATAAAATCTGATTAATAGTCAATTTTATGGGCTCTTTAGCAATTAAAAAAATTTTTTTTAATCTCTTGGTATAAGCATCTTAAAGAACACTTAAGGATTTTTCTTTCTGATATTACTGGAGATAAATTCTGTTTTTGGTCACTGACAAGTGTGCTTACCTTGCGTTGTGAGCTGCCCTTCCTGAGCCTGTACACAGCGGAGCTCTTCAATGGTTTCCTTCAGAGAATCCCTTTCTGTCCTCAGCCTCTGCAAAGACACACCCAGCGAAGGTCAGCCTCAGACCTTACACCCGTACTCATCCGTGGTTCGCCGTAATGAGCAGAACGGTGATCTGCAGCGAATGGACAGGCTTTCCCTTTGGATCAGCTATGGAATGGTTAACATTACTTTTTTCACTTAACAATAATAAATATCTACTATATATAAGGCAAGAAGGTATTCACAGTGAAACCACAAGGAACTGTTACTACTATTCCTTCCTTAACAGTGAGTGACTCATTTATTAAACAATTTTTTCCCATTAAACATAAAGGATCAAAGAACAGATTTAAAATAATTATAAGCGGTGATAGTGAAATATGCAAACAATAAGCATTACAACCTCATAATTGATCATGCAGAAAATAGAAAAGCTATGTAAATTTAAAGAGAGTTAGGAGTGGAGTAATGTTTCATAGGAGTAGAAAAGATAAATAGATATAAAAGAAATTAGAAAGGAAATCAAAACATTATTTTATCCTTTATTTTAGGTCTATTTCTGAAACACAAATGGGTACCTTCTACAATTAAAAAGTAATGAAGGTCTCCAATTTTTATTCACAAAAAGATTAATAAAATTTTCAAAACATGAATTAACTACCATTGTGTTAGATTTATCTGTGTTCAGAACCAAAATGCCCAGTATATACTTACATCCTTTTCTTTTTGAAGACCATCCACTTTTTCTTTCAGTCGCTTATATTCAAAATCTAATTTATCGGCCTTCTTTGATTCTTCAGATAATCTATTTTGGAGTTCTACTACCTGAGATGGAAGAAGGAGAATATTCATGACTAAAACTTGAACATTAGAAATTATCACTATTTTATAAATTCTATCAACTATCTCCACCAATACTCAAGTAAGTGCATATAATATAGCAGTCCGACAAACTGAAGAACTAAGGAATAAAATCTACCCACATGCTCTGAGTTCCCAAACCAGAGTCACCCAGTACAACAACTCAAAAATCAGAAAAGAATCTATTCTGTAAAACTTCCATTTCCTGCAGTGTAAAAATTGGATGGATCGAAAATTCTCTTGCTCTAAAACAGTGGTTCTCAATCTTCCTAATGCCGTGGCCCTTTAATATAGTTCCTCATGTTGTGGTGACCCCCAGCCATAAAATGATTTTCGTTGCAACTTCATAACTATAATTTTGCTTCTATTATGAACTGGGCAACCCCTGTGAAAGGGTCTTTCGATACCCCAAAGGGTTCGTGACCCACAGGTTGAGAACCACTGCTCTAAAATGAAAGAAATGCTAGTGGTTAAAAATCCTATTGCATAGCTAAATTCCCAAGAAAATATGGAAAATTCTCAAGGGCCAAAGCCAGAATAGGAAGTTGATGAGAAGCGATGGTATGTGCATTGCATGCCAACAGCAGGAACCGAGCGCTGTGGCTTAACAGGACACCAGTGGGTGCTAAGCTACATCGGGATCTGAAAGGTGGTGAGTCAGTAAGAAAGAGGTTGGGGAAGTCCTCCAGCTGGCAGAGGCAGAAGGAAACCTGCCAGTCTTAAACTAAGCTGTGGGGTCTTTAAAGTAGCTCTGAAATGTGAAACCATAACCTGCTAAGACATGATGTGGATTTGAACTTTTACCCCTTTCCTTGGCGGGGAAACCCAAAGCCAAGCATTTAAATAAACTAGCACTGGTTGGTAATGCTGTGAAAAATTTGGCACAAGCAACAACTCTAATTGCCTGGAGGAATACCACCTCACCCCTCGGGCTTCTCAAAGATACAGATGAGGCAAGCGAAAGAGCGAAATTACACAGGCTCTTCAGAACAAGCCACCATGACCAAGAGCTAGCAGAACATAGGAGCAGCAGCAGCACCAAACCCCCAGCAATTTTAGAAGGATTAGCAGACACAAAACACACACTAGGATTAATATCTAAAAACATTTTTAAGGGAAGTTATGCTATGAGAATACCGTAATTTAATTGCTCACCAAAAAATTCTAGCAATTATGTGGGTGAAGGGAGAAAATGCGGGCAGTGTAAGACATGAAGTTACAATAATAATATATCGTTGATCAAGGATTCATGAGGGTGGGAGGGTGGTGGTGGGGAAGAGGAACTGATACCAAGGGCTCAAGTATAAAGAAAATGTTTTGGAAATGTTGATGGCAACATATGTACAAGTGTGCTTAATACAATTGAATAATGGGTTGTTATAATGCATTATTTGTAAGAGTTCCAATAAAATGATTTAAAATTTCAAAAAAGAGAAAATTCCAATTTTAAACAAATACTTTTCTGAAATGGTAACTACTCTCGGCAATGTTATCAAGCTATTAAGTCTGATGCAAAAATCACAAAGTATGAGATAGGAAACTTTAAGCAACTTAGAGGCAAGCCCACGGTGACTGAGTCACTGCTGACTCAGCCACCCTATACGACAGGGTAGGACTGTCCCTGTGGAGCTCCAAGACTGTTACAGGAATAGAAAGCCTCTTCTTTCTCCCGAGTAGCTGCTGGTAGTTTCGAACTGTCAACCTTGCAGTCAGCAGCCCAATTCATAACCACTGTCTCAAAAGCAACTGTAATAATGTGAAAGAAACAACTAAATCTGGTGTGATAAAGCTAACTGATTCTCAGGAGTGAAAGGATGGTTTAACAGAAATGCACTAATATAACTCACTACACTGGACACAGTGTTAGGAAAGACCAGTCCCTGGGAAAGGAAGTCATGCTAGGTAAAGCAGAGGGGCAGTGAAAAGAAGAAGTTCCTCAATGAGATGGATGGACACCCTGGCTGCAACAACGGCTGGAGGCACAGGAGCAATTGCAAGGATGGCCAGGACCATGCAGGTTTCTTCTGTTGTGCAAAGGCTTGGTATGGGTCAGAACCGACTGGATGCCACTTAACAATAACACACTAACAGAAAGTTAAAACAGGATTCTGCTAATAAGAAAAGTAAGGAAAACAGCCGATTACATTCAATCTTCATTTTAACACAGCATATTAGAAAACTGTTAAAAACGGCTACCAAATCCCCAGGGCAATCCTCATAAAACATCTGGTAAAATACTTTTTTTTTTTGGTAAAAGAAAAAAACCAGTTACCTGCTATTGCTTTTATTCAAAATTGTATTAAAGATTAAGCATGCTAATTAACAAAACAGAACAAAAAGAGGGGGGCAAGGAAGGTTGTGGAATCTAAAGGATGATACAAACTGCTATTATTTGCACACTATATGCCTGCTGATAAGAGTCATTATTAGACATTATCAACATGCAAAACTGATAATGCTGCAGAATTAACATGTAAAAATCAATTTCATTCATTTATATCTACAAACATAAAAATGTCTTTTTAAAATTATGGAAACACTCACAAACATAAAATACACAAGAGTAATTATGATAAACTATGTGCATGAGCTTTAGAAAAATATCATAGGGCTTAGCTGAAAGATACTGAAGACCTAGTAAATAGATCCTATATTCATCGGTAGAAATTTTCCCTAAATTGACCAAAAGATTCGACGTAGTTTCAATTCCCATAGGTTTGGATTTTAAATGATAAATAAAAGGTTAAGAATACACAAAACATTGTGAAAAAGAACTCGTTGTGGGGTTTGCACTACCAAATATCAAAATTGCTAGAACTCTAGTGAAAAAAAAAAGATGTGGTATTCATGTGAGAACAGAGAAACGTGAAGAGAATGCTCACAAACAAATTACGCAAGCTAGAGGTGGAACTACAGAGCACTGTAAGAGAAGAACTACTGGATAAATGGTGTCTGGTTAACTGGCTATCCACATGGACAAAAATCAACAAAGGGATCTCTACCTCATATCCTACAGAAAATGAATATGCAAAGCAAATTAATTTAAAGGAAGATATTAGCCTAGGTTTCTTAAAGGAAGGTATTAGCCTAGGTTTCTTAAAGGAAGATATTGGCCTAGGTTTCTTAAACAAAGTACACCAAGCACAAACCACAAACAAATTTTTACTTAACTTTTATGATATTGAAATGATCAACTTCAAAAGAGTGAAAGGACAAGTCATACAGATTGTTGGGAGGTAAAGTTAACTCCTGTAGCCAATGGAAAATTAACATGTAGAAAATGCAAAAGAAATAATCCAATTTAAAACTGGATAAAAGGAAAAATAGATGATTCAATAGACATGTGGTATATTAATAAATTTGTAATAGGGTAATTAAAATCATAATCATAATGAGACATCATTTCATATCCATCCAACTAGTAAAAATTATAGTCTGACAATCCTGTGCATGAATAGTTTGCAACTTTGTGGCCGTGATGATGTGGAGCAGTATGAACTCACAGAAACTCCTTGTTGGCAGTTAATCACTTTGAAGAACAATTTGGCAATACATAATTATACTGAAGATACTTTATGAAGAAATCCCACTAAGTTGTAAAATGTTCTCACATGTATATAAGGAGACAGGCTCAATACTACACATCAGCCTTTCTTGTAATATTGGAAAAACACACTCACTATCCTATGCATGCAGGGGCATCAGACAATTTGTGGGAATGCAATGGAAAGATAACAGAATTTCCCATATCAACTTGAAGCGCTCTCGAGTGTCCTTCAACGAGAAAGGATGAACTGTAGAACAGACCCTCAATGGGAAAGTACACGATAGCGGAAATGAATGCCCATCAGCATAAACCAGTCTCACAAATATGCTACTGACCAAGAGAAGTCAACTGCAGAAGGCTTGTGCCATTTTATCATTGTATAAAAATTTGGAACATGTTTACAATGTTATCAGTTGTTAGGGATAAATATACATTAAGTCCCTGGGTCAAGACTGACTGAAGTATCTGCACTTGCCCTTTAGAGTTAGGCCCAAATAACCTCACTTTGAAATGGCTCAAACCGAATCCAAGGGTAACAAATTCACCACAATCACCTTCACTTGCTGCACCTGAAGTTTTTCAATCACTGACAAGGCTTTGAGCTTTTTTTGAAGGCTAAGTAAGAATCATATGCATCTTTCTAAATTACCTACACATTTGATTCAAATAGCCACTTGGAACATATCTTGTAATCCAGGGATTGTACACACACACACACACACACACACACACACACACACACACA